AAAAAAAAGGTGTTCCATTTTAAGAGCTCAGTACATGTTATAAATCTTAATCTATTAAATCTTTGGATGCCTGAAGCTCATATATTCCTGCTATTATCTGGGTAAAAATCATGGGGAAACAAAGGAAATTGATTTATTCCAAGTCATGGGATGAACCAAAACCACTTTCCTCAAATACTTTCCTAACATTTCAACAATATTGAGCTAAGGAAAAATTTGCCTTTTAAAGTTTCCTTAATTCTTCTTTAAAAATTCTCTCCTTCAAGTCTTACCCCTTATTTGACTATGAGGGAAAAATTTCTCCTCAGCTGATAATATTTTTCACAGCAATTTACAATCTTCTATTAAAATCACATCATAAATGTAAGTTATCTTACAAAAAAAGGTCTTCTTGTAAAAGATACCATCTGAAAATTTGTAAAGCTGGGCAACAAATATGTACCTTCCATTCCTTTCACCTCCTTGGACTGTACTGTGAAAGGCAGTTCTGGGAAATGGAATTCCTTCCTGTCAGATCTGGAAAAATTCAGCTTCCGTTTGTTTCCATTTGCCATTTGGTCACTTTGACCTGTTCGCTCACTAAATATACTCTTCTCCATTTGGCTCTAAACAAGCAAATAAACAAGAGTTAATTTGAAAAAAAGATGTGTAACTGTTTTTGAATGAGAAGCCTAAAATTGCAGGCCATTTGGAAGGTAATAAGATAGGCATAAAATGTCTATCTTTGCAAAGTTATTTTAATAATTAATAAGTAGAATACCAGGGGAGCCCGGGTGACTCAGTTGGTTAAGTGGGTGCCTTCAGCTCAGGTCATGATCTCAGGGTCCTGGAATTGAGACCCACATCCGGCTCCTTGCTCAGCAGGGAGTCTGTTTCTTCCTGTCCCTCTGCCCCTCTGCCCACATGTATGCTCTTTCTCAAATAAATATGTAAAATCATTAAAAAAAAAGAATACCATTTAAATACATAAACATCAAATTCCAATAAAAGTTTAAAGAAGCAAATTTTTAAAAATACATTGGATATTCTGAGAATAATAGCGTTGATCAGGAGAATCACCACCTTAACTTTTAATTTATAATCTTATTCATTGTACTCTGACTTTGGACAAATTGCTTCAGTTTATTTTATTAATTTCTTTTTCTATTCACAAAATGATGTACTCTGGACACAGGGAGAGCCCAGCATTCTAGAAAATCTTTTGTGTTACCTATTTTTTACTTATTTTTGCTCATTTGATAACTGATGATAAAAACTCTCCAAAGTTAATGAACACTCTACCACAATGCAATGTGTAGTATCCCACTGTGTAGATATATATTAATATGCTTAATGAGTCACTTGCTCTTAGACAGATTTGTGCTGTTCTCAATTTTTTATTATTATAAATAACATTATGCTCCCCTATGTAAAATGTTAATTTTGAATAAGCTACTTCCCTGTGTAAAAAATGAGGGAATGAACAACACTGATCACATTTTTCTAGTGAAAAGTTTGATGTATCTATTTGTCAATTGCCTTTAATCTATAAAATATTAAAAACATTTTTGGGGGGAGTGAAAAAACAAAAAGTCTGTGACTTTATTTATTTATTTTTTTTTTTAAAGATTTTATTTATTTGACAGAGAGAGACATAGCGAGAGAAGGAACACAAGCAGGGGGAGTAGGAGAGGGAGAAGCAGGCCTCCCCACGGAGCAGGGAGCCCGACGTGAGGCTCGATCCCAGGACCCTGGGATCACGACCTGAGCCGAAGGCAGACGCCTAACGACTGAGCCACCCAGGTGCCCCTGTGACTTTATTTTTTTAAAGATTCTATTCTTTTGGGGTGCCTGGGTGGCTCAGTCGTTAAGTGTCTGCCTTTGGCTCAGGTTACGATCCCAGGAGGTCCTGGGATCGAGCCCCACATCCAGCTCCCTGCTCAGCAGGAAGTCTGCTTCTCCCACTCCCCTTGTTTGTGTTCCCTCTCACTGTGTATCTCTCTGTCAAATAAATAAATAAAATCTTTTAAAAAAAGATTCTATTCTTTTTATCTTTTTTAAGTAATCTTTACATCCAGTGTGGGGCTCAGACTCACGACGCTGAGATCAAGAACCGTATGCTCTTCTGACTGACCCAGCCAGGTGCCTCAAGTCTTGTGACTTTTAAGAGTGAAAATCTTAACTTTTTTTGTGCAAGTCACAGATAAAATACACAAATCAAATTATAAGAAATTAACTAAAATTGTGAAAGCACTAAGGAAACGATGACCTATTTTCATCTCAGGAAAAACAAAAAAGCTAAAAGCACACTTTTTTAAATTATTTTTTAAATTTTATTTTAGAGACAGAGAGTGTGTGTATGAGCGGGTGGGGAGGGGCAGAAGGAGAGAGAGAGAATCTCAAGCAGACTCCACACTCAGTGTAGAGCCCACTGCAGGGCTCGATCTCATGACCCCGAGATCATGACCTGAGCTGAAATCAAGAGTAGGATGCTTAACCAACTGAGCCACCCAGTCACCCCTAAAAGCACATTTTTAAAAATGCTGGAGCCTCAAAGATAGAAAAAGGATTTGGTGGGGAGGGAGTCAAGGATAATGTTAAAAGAGGCCATGTTTTAACGACTAGCTTCATGCCTTACTTGAGTGGGACCTGCATCCTCTTGCCTGCTATTAGACATAACCTGTCCAATAGATTGTGAAGAAGTACGTCTCTTTTTGGCTCGTTCAGTCAACCTATTATTTAAAAATTAATGCAAAGTTATTAGAACTCCCTAGAAGTTCTTCTGTTTTAGCTTCAGTAATGAAGAAGTTATATCATGGTAGTCTAAAGTTTGAATAGTGAGTGCCAAAATGCAATTGTGAGTGTGTTAGTGCCAATTGCTCTAAGTAGGTGAAAACAGCAGAGAACAACTTGCTCATGGCTAACATCAGTGGTAACAACCATGTTGTGGGATTACTCTAGCTGGCCTACTTAGTCCCCTGTTTCTGTTTTAAATCTGGAGATCTTTTTTTTTTTATTTTTTAAGTAGGCTCCACACCCAACATGGGGCTTGAACTCACAATCCTGAGATCAAGAGTCATATGCTCTACACACTGAGTCACCTGGGTGCTCCTAAGTCTGGATCTCCTAACTACTGGATTTCTGAATTTCTGAGCTTGCTGTCCAAAGCTGGTTTACAACCATGGTTATCGCAACCATTGTGTTGGGATCATCTCAAAAACGAATGGGCTCTTGCTGTCTGTAGCCTGCTGTACCTTTGGACTGACACAGAAATGTCCACTTGCCCGCCTCTGCAGACCCCTCAGCTTCACAACTTATAGTCCAAACCAGACTGCTAGTATTGGTTTGGGATATTGAATGTAGTCTCCTTCCTCATCTAGATTCACAGTAGTTTCCCTATATTTAGGACTGGCCCTGGCGCCTTGCTAGATAGACCCTTGCTATACAACACACTGCCCTTGATTAAGCAGACTCATGGTACCAGTCTTCCAATTTGTAACAGTAGCTAAATCTACAACTGGCCCAATATGTTGTTTTACTCCCAAAATATTTGACCTTCAAAATCTAATTGACTGTAAAAGATTATTTTCAACTGTTCTTTCTCCATTTAGAAAATTAGCTATGATACAGATGAAATGTTATACTTTGTTATACTAAGGCACATCAATACCAGAACCTAGGTTATATCACCTTCTTCCTATTCAGATGGGAAGAAATTATTCTGAGGGTCTTTTTTTTTTTTAATGAGGTCTTTCCAAAAGGCACTGGTGAAAAATTAAACATCTATATAAGCAAGAAAAGTTAATTTCTTCTACAGTATTCTTAACAAACACTAATGGTTCATTAAATGATTATAATTTCAATATATCTTCAAATTCAGTTTATACACAGACACTACGATCTTGAGTCTTTGAAATACCATTATATAGGAGCATTGTGTTACTTAGGTCCATTTCTTTCTGTCTCTTTTCTATTAAACTCACCTTGAGTTGGGATGGGAAAGATTTGAATTGGGATTTGAAGCCAGCAAATTATTGCTAGTTAGATTGATGGGTGGCATCATCATACTACCTCCAGCGTGTGGATCATCTTTCATGCCATTAGAATTAGTGCTGGGATTGACAGAGTTTGGTGGTTCATTGATTACAGGTTTTGTATCTTGAGACATAGTATGAGCATTTTCAATGGCATCCTGTTGACAATGTCCCCCTTCATACTCTATCTTGTCTGGTTCTAAGATATCTCCTTTTCCTCCTTTGACTTTAATAACTCTGACTTTGATCTCTTTGGGCTTTTTCTCTTTTTCCACTTCCTGGAATAGACACATCCAAAATCTGAGTCAGAAGAATAGTTATTTTTATCATTAGAGTGCTAACTACACTACAGTTATACTGGCTAAAAAGAAAACAACTTTTACCTTTCCCAAAACTGGAGTACTTAGCAGTGTATTAGTATATGTTGTTTTTCTTTCATCTTTCATAAGTTCATTTTCTTTAGAATTCTCTTTTGGCTTTATGAATGAATTGACTTTTGCTTCTTGCAGTAATTTAGCTCTCAGTTCTGGTATGAATCTGATAAAACAAGCAATATCAACCAATAATCTTTTTATTTATGTAGATAAAGTATTTTATCTTTAATGGACCATTTAATCAATTAATTTACATATCAGGTATAGCATAAATAAGTTATCAATAATGCATGCCAAGAAATGGTACAATATTTAATACACATTTCTTCCTGGTAAAGATACATCTCCCAAAAATTTTGCCATGAGTATTTACTACATAAAACTTTTACAAAATAGGTTTATATGAATTAGATTCCTCTTGTGATACAAACTTTACTCAATAAAAGTATTATTTTTCATTTTGATAAATATATTATTCTTTCAAGGAAAACTCAGACCATTTTGTCCTTTTTGTGGTTCTTTAAAGTAACAGTACTTAAAAGATGAACTAATTAGTTTCTGAAATCTTATTCTAGAGAAATATTTTTAGTACAAACTGTAACAAAATACATCAATATCAAAGGGAGATCATTTTGGTTTTGGTTTGAATTTTTTTAAGTTACTTATTTTTTAATAGAAAATCCATTGATATGGCTCAAAATTCAAAAGGCTATTTTGAAAAGTCTCCTTCTTACCCTGCCCCTGAGTTGCACAGTTCCCCGCCCTGAAGCAGCTATAATTATCAGTTTGGGGAAATTTTATTTTATTTTATTTTATTTTTTAAGATTTTATTTATTTATTTGACAGAGAGAGACACAGTGAGAGAGGGAAAGCAAGCAGGGGGAGTGGGAGAGGGAGAAGCAGGCTTCCCGCTAAGCAGGGAGCCTGATGTGGGGCTTGATCCCAGGACCCTGGGATCACGACCTGAGCCAAAGGCAGGTGATTAATGACTGAGCCACCCAAGCACCCCTTAATTTATTTTAAAGTAAGCTCTGCACCCAGTGTGGGGCTTGAACTCACCACCCTGAGATCAAGAGTGCTATATGTGCTATACTGACAGAGACAGCCAGGTGTCCCCTAGTTTGTGGAAATTTTAAAATATCATTCCATGAGTGAATTCTTCCCCGGTTTAGCCCAATCTTGCCAAAGCTGTGCAAGACACATGTCTAGTAAAGTGAAGTGTGAAGAGATGAAGGAAACAACCAGTGTGACTCATTGGGCTGAATAAGAACATGTCATACTTCTGTCAAAATGCCCTTGTATTGCAGAAGGTTCTGTGAAAGGGAGAGGCCTCTTATCAAAGGAAAGGGTCTTCCCCAAACATTTCCTGAAGATTCAATCATTGGAATTCAAGAACTTTCACCCCATCACACTAAAATCCTAGGATTTTAAGTACTCAAGAGAAATCAACGTGGTCTATGTAGAACTGATATAAGCAACTTTTTAACTCAATAACGGGCACTTTTCATCAATGGCACTTTCAATATATCTTCTTCTCATTTTTTTGTTTTATATCAAAATTCTTGTTTTGCTTTATATTAAAATTCTTAAAATGCCTAAAGATCTAAGTACTCTAAAGGATTCCCTCTTCTTTGCCTTTTTCTAGTTTAGTCTATCTTTAATGGCTGTTCCCGAACTTTTCCATGCCTAAAGTCCATCACATTTTAAAATGATGTCCATCTTTTCTGACCTCACATCCAAAGCCCACCTGAGTGACTCTGTAATTAAAGAAAAAATTTTCTGTTTCTTTCAAAGCCCAAATAGAAAATGGTGGGGTTTTTTTTAGAAATACAGCTGATTTTAGGGGCACCTGGGTGGCTCAGTTGTTAAGCATCTGCCTTCGGCTCACGTCATGGTCCCAGGGTCCTGGGATTGAGCCCCGCATCGGGCTTCCTGCTCAGCCAGGATCCTGCTTCTCCCTCTCCCACTCCCCCTGCTTGTGTTCCCTCTCTAGCTGTCTCTCTCTGTGTGTCAAATAAATAAAATCTTTAAAAAAAAATACAGCTGATTTTAATCAAAATATGGAAAGAGCCCAGATGTCCATCGACAGATGAATGGATAAAGAAGATGTGGTATATATACACAATGGAATATTACTCAGCCATCAAAAAGAATGAACTCTTACCATTTGAAACAATGTGGATGGAACTAGAGGGTATTATGCTAAGTGAAATAAGTCAGAGAAAGACAAATACCGTACGATTTCACTCATATGTGGAATTTAAGAAACAAAACAGAAGAACATAGGGAAGGGAAGGAAAAATAAAATAAGATAAAAACAGAGAGGGAGGCAAACCATAAGAGACTCTTAACTATAGGAAACAAACTGAGGGTTGTTGGGAGGGGGTGATGGGCATTAAGGAGGGTATGTGATATAATGAGCACTGGGTGTTATACACAACTGATGAATCACTAAATTCTACCACTGAAACTAATAATACACTATATAACTAAGTTGAATTTAAGAAAAAAATTTAAAAAAAAGAAATACAGCTGATTTATAAATCTACATTGTCATTATATATTACATACACAATGTGGGACACAGAAGGCTAGAGGCATGGTCCCTCCTTCGGGGAACTTCCACTTTGGTAGACAGAATATGACAATAAACACTATAACAGAAAGTAAATAAAGCAGAGGGAAAAAAACCATTTGGGAAATAAATGCCAATTTTAAGATATCGATCAGAGATGCTACCAGAAGAGGAAAAACCAGACTATTCTGAGTCAAAGGTCCAAATGGGAAAAAAGCTAAAAAGTACTGATTATTTATTTACTATCTTCAGGCCTATGATCACCATTGAAAATGTGTATAAAGAGCTTAGCACACTGCCTAGGACATCATAACTGTAATGAATGTTAAGTACAATTATTTTTATTAGTAGAATTTTCATCATGATGCCTATAAGTCTACCATAGAACTAGTTAATACAGGAACTAAGTAAGTAAAGTTTTGGTTAAATTGAACTTTTGTGTGTGTAACACTAAGAAGTCCACACACACTCAACATGCTTACTTTTCAATAAATCCATCTCTAGTAAAATACTCATGATGCAAAAGATCAGTAGATGATGTCCTCTCAGCAGGATCAATTTGTAAACAAGCCTAGAAAATGAAAAAAAAAATTCTAACATTAAGTAAGGTCTTAACAGAGCTCTATAAGGTAAAAATTAAATGTATTTGACATATGTAGAAGTAAATAATTACCCGGAGCTAAAACCAGTCTTGAAAAGTTGGATTTAGACCTTAGGAATTTCTGACAATGGGTTCTGACCACTTACTTCCCTAAGAAATTTGTAGTTGTAAACCATTATTATAGGTTAAATGTCCTATGATTCTAGCCAAAACAGAAGTCAATCTGTTTCTGCTGGAATTAGCAGAATTAGTTCATTTTGATCCTCTTAGCACTGTAAGGTGGAAAGTTCATGGATTATTATTTCCATTTTACGGAACTAGAAGCATAATTAGTGACTTACTATATGAGAATTTTAACTCATATTGTCTGAATCCTAATCCATTGCTTTTTCTATGGCATAATACAACTTCACAAACATTCAAGCCCCCAAATCTTTCAATATTCCATTATGAGAACAGCTCTTTTTTGTTTCCCTATCTTGGGAATACTTCAACTGAATAGAGAAACAAGCAAACAAACAGAAAACCCACAAAACAAAAACATGATAGAAGGAAGAGTTTTGAAAATAAGTCGAACATCATAAATTTATATATAATCAAATAACTTGTTGTAAATAGAAGATATTTTTAACCAAAATATTAAAGATAGAATTTGAATAAAAGCCATTTGCAGTATAGTTTTCACTTCTTCCTTTAGAAGAAGGCAAACATTAAAAAAAGGCAAAACATAATAATAATTGGTAACTTTTATTGATATTTACTGTGTGCCACACAATACTCTACCTAGCTTTTTCCTATAACTTGATGCCAACAACAACCCTACAGGTAGGTATTATTATTATCTCCATTGTACAGATAAGGAGACTGAGGCCCAGAGAAATCAAGTAATTTGTCTAGATCTAACAAATAGAAGAGTAGACTTAAAATCCAGAAAATCCAAGGTAATTGAATGTAATATTACATTTTTGTCTATTTCCAAAATGTATATGTTTAAATTGATTCACAAAAAAAGTTGTAAAGATCTGCTATACAGGGGCGCCTGGGTGGCTCAGTCGTTAAGTGTCTGCCTTCCACTCAGGTCATGATCCCAGGGTCCTGGGATCAAGCCCCGCATCGGGCTTCCTGCTCGGCAGGAAGCCTGTTTCTCCCTCTCCCACTCCCCCTGCTTGTGTTCCTGCTCTCGCTATCTCTGTCAAATAAATAAATAAAATCTTTAAAAAAAAAGATCTGCTATACAACAATATGAATATAGCTAACAGCACATTCTACACATTTTAAAATTTGGTAAGAGAATAGATTTCATGTTATGTGTTTTTTACCACAATAAAAATACATTGACTCACAGAGCAAAATTGAGTTCATTATCTACTTTATGATCGGAGAATACCCAGACCCTTAAAACTGCAACTAGCTAAAAATATGTGCTTATTTTAGAATATTATAGTAATCCATCAATAAAACTTAGTAAGAACATGTTGGGGCGCCTGAGTTAAGTGTCTGCCTTTGGTTCAGGTCATGATCCCAGGGTCCTGGGTTCGAGTCCCACATTGGGCTCCCTGCTCAGCAGGGAGCCTGCTTCTCCCTCTGTCCCTCCCCGCCACCACCACCCCCCTGCCGTGCTCGCTAGCTCTGTCTCTTTCTCTGTCTTTCTCTCTCGGAAAAATAAATAAGTAAAATCTTTTTAAAAATCTTAAAAAGTCTGCCCAAGTCATAGCCTATTAGAGGCAGACAAATTAGTCCTTCTTTGAATAATATAATTAGAAAATTTAAATACATGCCTAGTTTGGAAAGTCTAAGATATGATACTTTGAGAAACAGACTGGCAGTTTCTTTAAAAATTAAACATACACATACCTTAAACCCACCCTTCCACTCTTAGATACTCAGAAGAATAAAAATATACATCTACAAAGACTTGTAGATGAATGTCCATAGGAATTTTGTTTGTAACAGACAAAAATAGGAAACAACCCAAAACAGGGGAATAGATTAAAAATTGTTATATATCCTGGGGCGCCTGGGTGGCTCAGTCGTTAAGCGTCTGCCTTCGGCTCAGGTCATGATCCCAGAGTCCTGGGATCGAGCCCCGCATCGGGCTCCCCGCTCTGCGGGAGGCCTGCTTCTCCCTCTCCCCCTCCCCCTGCTTGTGTTCCCTCTCTCGCTGTATCTTTCTCTGTCAAATAAATAAAATCTTTAAAAAAAAATTGTTATATATCCTTATAATGGAGTACTACTCAGTAATAAAAAGGAATCAACTACTGATATACACAAAACATGAATTAATCTCTAAACCATAATGCTGAATTAATGAGTATATATCATGTAATTCCATATATATATCTAGACAATGTAAACTAATCTATAGTGATAGAAAGCAACTCAGACGTTATCTGGGAACAGAAATGGAGGGATAAGAGGATTGAGAAAGGGTAAGAGGACATTTTAGAGGTTGATAGAAATGTTAGATATCTTGATTGGGGTGGTGGTTTCATAGGTATAAAAATCTATCAAAACTCATCAAATTATACATTTTAAGTATGTGTAGTTTAATGTAATTATATCACAATAAAGTTTAGAAAATTTAAATCTAGGAAATGATACAAGCTTTGCCCCAGATATTAAGATGGATTCTAAAGTTACAATAATCAATCAAGCTGGTATTTATACTAGAATAAAAAAAGAAATCAATGAAATAGAAACAAACCCAAGTGCATATAAGCATTTTGTCTATGATAAATGTGGCACTCCAAGACACTGGATTATTCAAGTTGAAGAAAAATATTTACAATATATATGACAAAGACTAATATGCCTATTATTTTACAAATCTATATGAAAAAAGATAGTCTGACAAATAATGATTCTTAAAATAAGAAATACAAATGGTCAATTAATATTAGTAAAATGTTCAACCTTTCCTGTAGTGATATAAGTGCAACTAAAAAAAGATGGTATTTTAAGCTTATTAAATTGGCAAATATTTTGGGGTGCTTGGCTGGTCAGTTGGTAGAACATGGTGACTCTTGATCTTGGGGTGGTGAGCTTGAGTTCCATGTTGGGTGTAGAGATGACTGAAAAAAAAACTTGGCAAACATTTTAAAAACTATAAATATCCATTGTTAGATTGAGAATGGGAACTTATATCCAGTGCTACTTGAGAGTACTCGAATATAAATCAGTGACACTTTTCTGGAGGAAAAAATAGCAAAATATATCAAAAATTCTGAAAAAGTATAAACCCTATAGCACTCTAATCACAATTCTAGGAATTTATCCTAAACAAATAATAAAGCAAGTTCAAAAAGACATATTTAAAAGATGCTCACTAAATCATCTTTACCAAGAGGGAGAAAACCCGAAAACAAATGTCCAAAATTGTAAGATCAGTTAAAGTATAGAACACTCATACAATGAAATACTATGCAAGCACTGAAAATTATGGAGTAGTTCCATATTTACTGACATGGTTACATAACAAACAGGTCACATTACTGAAGACAATGAAGCGTGGTGTCTTTTAAAAGCATAAATTCCTATGCATATATTTGGTTGGCAAAAGTCTAGAAGTATATAAATCAAAATGCCAATAGTAATTTTTCCCAGATTATAGGAGTTGGGAAAATCTTACCTTCTTCTTCTTGTTTATCATGTATTCTCTACTTTTTCTATAATCATTATGTATTCCTTGTATAATTAAAACTATGATACAAAAAATAAATTCAAATGAAAATGTAGCAAACAAATCTAATTCTTTTTTTTTTTTTAAGAAATCTTATTTATCTCTTTGAGAAAGAGAAAGAGAGAGTGAGACTGGGGGAAGGAGAGAGACAAGCAGACTCCATGCTGAGTGTGGAGCCAGACATGGGGCTCAATCTCAAGACCCCGAGATTATGACCTCAGCCAAAAGCAAGAGTCAGATGCTCAATCAACTCAGCCACGCAGGCACCCCTGATTCTTTTTTTTTTTTAAGATTTATTTATTTATTTTAGAGAGAGAGTGAGCAAGAGTGGGAGGGGCAAAGGGAGAGGGAGAGGAAGAGAGAACCTTAAGCAGACTCCACACAGAGCACAGAGCCCAACATGGGGCTCTATCTCATGACCATGAGAGCACGACCTGAGCCAAAACCAAGAGTTGGATGCTCAACCAACTGAGCCACCCAGGCGCCCTGAGAGAAAGAATCTTTTCTTTCTTTTAAGGTTTTATTTATTTGAGAAGGGGAGAGAGAGCACAGAGGGAGAGTGAGAGGGAGAAGCAGATTCCCTGCTGAGCAAGAAGCCCCATGAGGGGCTCGATCCCAGGACCCCGAGATCAAGACCTAAGCTGAAGGCAGATGCTTAACCGACTGAGCCAAACAGGCATCCCCTGAGAGAAAGAACCTTAAGCAGACTCCCTGCTGAGTGTGAGGCCCACCATGGGGCTCAATCTCACAACCATGAGATCATAACCTGAGCCAAAATCCAGAGTTGGGACACTCAACTGACTGAGCCACCCAGGTGCTCCAACGAATCTGATTCTTTTTTTTTTTTCCAACGAATCTGATTCTTAATAAACTAGTTTTCTTCAAATGTCAATGAAATAATTTTTTCCTTTAAGAATACTCTTTAGATGCTACATATCATATGTTTAGTAAATTTACCTAAATAATAACAGCAACAATTAAAATTAACAACATTTGTTGACAGCTTATTCAAGGCCCTGTGCTCAGAACATGTTCACCATTACCTCATTTAATCCTCCAGTCCCCAAAAATAAAGACCGTTAATGTTGTTTTATAGCCCAGTAAACTGGGGTACAGAGATTAAGTGACTTTCCCAACGTTACAGAGATAACTAGTGACAGAGCTGAATTTTTGTCTATGTGATTCCAGAGCCCCTTCTTATAAACACTATACCATACTTACTTCGAAATTTAGGTAACTACTTTTTTTTAAAGGGCTATACATCAGAAATAAGCTACCTCAGTTGACCCTGGGAAAGGAAATTAGCTAGATAAAGAAAGTAAATAGAAGCAGATTTACTTTCCACAGTAAATTCTCTTGCTTTTTGAATTTTGCACTGTTATTGGTATATTTATTACATAATTTAAAAAGAAATTTACAGGATGCCTGGGTTGCTCAGTCATTAAGCGTCTGCCTTCTGCTCAGGTCATGATCCCAGGGTCCTGGGATCGAGCCCCACATCAGGCTCCCTGCTCCGCGGGAAGCCTGCTTCTCCCTCTCCCACTCCCCCTGCTTGTGTTCCCTCTCTCTCGCTGTGTCTGTCTCTGTCAAATAAATAAATAAAATTTTTTAAAAAATAAAAATACAAATAAAAAAATCAAAAGAAATTTACATCTTAAAATAATTAGCAAGTGTTATACAGTATAATGTTTTTGTTTTCTCAAAATTCAAGGTGAATTTTGGCATTGATACCTTCAAACAACATTAAAACTGCAGCTGTCAATGCCTGGTAGATATCTTAGGATACCAGTGTACAAGGCACAGAGCCCTAGCTTGGGTAGACTGGCTATTAAAAGGTGGTGATAAACATGGTAAGTCCTTTGAATTTTTCCAGTGTATCCCTAATTATCATTAAAATTGGGATAAACTAAAAATAATGGACAGGATTATCCCAGGGAGTTTTCAGTTCTAACAGTCTATGAATTTTAATTTTTCTGGAGTAAAGACATAAAGACAGGAATATAGTAAATTTTAACAGATAACATTATGAATCCTTTCAGAATTTCATCAAAGTAATATTTTAAAACTATATTATAATTTACACAAATTTCCCAGAAATAAGTCCTTAACTCTTAACATACATCAACTATATCTGCCAACAATCCATTTAGCTTTGGGTATTTTTTTCTTGCATTTTTGGGGTGTTGAACTTGCGGAAGGACCACCCCAGCAAAAGTGGGACTCTTGGAAAATATATTCTGTAAGTGAGGTGTCAAATTGCCTGAAAAGAGAAAAAAAGATGAATGTAAGAAAACAGAGAAATTAATCTACAATCAAAATAAACAAATTGCTATGTGGTCTGCATTAAATCACTAAAAAGGGAGAATAACAATTATGTTCTTTTAATTTTTTAAGGTTGAACAAGGAACTATCTGAATATAGCATAAAAATTGGAAGTTTCCCCAGTAATCTGTTGATAGCATGTAGGCAGTAGAAAATTTAAAACCACCAGGTTCATTTTCATTTCCCAAAATACAAGACATAATATAAAATGCTATTAGGAAAAGCAAACTTTTACATATTTCCATATAGGTATCTAAATGGTCTAACAAGTGTTTATCAGCAAATCCTTACTCAAAACAGCTAAAATATCTAAATTATTTAGAAATAGAAATACTGCAAAGAAACAAGGCTATAGAGTAGTAGTAGAATGAAAAGAACTGTAAATAGGAGTGGAGAGAGCCAAGTTCTAGCGCCAGTTTTATTATAACTATTTCTGTGACCTTGGGCAAATCTCTTCCCTTTCTATGCTTCAGTTTCCTTACCTGTAAAATGACAGAATTAATCCCATCATCTCTAGAGTGTTTTTTTTCTAACATTACTCTCAAAACCAGAACTTTAAAGATGACAAAAAAAGTGTGATGCTTTAAGACTCCAAACTATATCTTTAATTAGTATTTATCCAGACTTCATGATTTTTATTCCAGTATCTTCCTCATGATCCTGTAACTACATGTTTATGTATACCTTCTCTATACCACAAAAGGAGATCCTCAAGCTCATCATTCAGAAATATATCAAAAAAACAAATCATTGAAACTCCATGAGTAAGGCTAACCATCAAAATGTTTGGGTAGTCAAAGCAGATCATTAAAAAAGTAAAAGCACTCATCAAATGTATTTTTGAATAGGTTATTTAGCTACCTGGATTTCTACTGTGGTTTTTTAAAAAAAGTTTTCTCAATAAGTAACTTTCTATCTCTAAGTGCTTCAAAAAGACATCTAAATCAACTCTATTATTTAAAAGTCCACTTTGAGAGATGCAAATATTTGTAGAAGCCAAAAAAAAATTTTAAGATTTTATTTATTTATTTGACAGAGAGAGAGAGAGTGAGACAGCACAAGCAGGGGAAGCAGCAGAGGGAGAGGGAGAAGCAGGCTCTTCGCTGAGCAGGGAGCCCCATGCCAGGCTCAATCCCAGGACCCTGAGATCATGACCTGAGCTGAAGGCAAACACTACAAACTGAGCCACCCAGGCACCCCCTAGAAGCCAAAATTTTAAAACAACTTTCAGACAAATTGAAGTATGTTCCTATTGTACCATTTTTCTTAGTATAACCATTAGCAAATGACTTAGCTATTTGCAACCTGGCAAAGAAAATATTATTTACAAAAACAGAGAAGAATTTCCTACCTTCTTTACCAGCCCAAGGCATACACCTGCTGCCATCTATCAAAACAATATGCTTCCCTGTTCTTATAAAGAAAAAACTGAATTTGAAAATCAAGCAGAATTGATATAGCAATATTTACTTTAAGCATTTAATAGTGTATTTCAGTAGTACCCACCTACTTTTAAAACAATTTTATGAAGTAAATCCAAATCAGAGCTGCTAGGAAGATAGGGATTTCCAGTGGCCATCTCAATGATCATACAACCCAAAGCCCAGATATCTACAGGTCTGAAACAAACAAGAATAAATCATTTTTTCATGGAGAAATATATAAAATATCTTTTTTTTTTTTAAGATTTAATTATTTATTTATTTGAGAGAGAGAGAGAGAGAGAGAGCACGAGCAGAGTGAGGGGCAGAGGGAGAAGCAGACTCCCCACTGACCGGCCAGCCTGAAGCAGGGCTCAATCCCAGGTCTCCGGTATCATGACCTGAACCAAAGGCAGATGCCCAACCAACTAAACCACCCAGGTACTCCTAAAATATCTCTTCTAAAATGTTTTTAAATAATGTTCCAGCCAAAGAAAATATAATGGTTAGATGGTATCATTTATAAATTTTCATTTTAATATCATATGCCAACTTTAGGATATATATTAAACACTGTCACATTTTATTAATAATATTAAATATTTTATATTTAAATCACACGAGAAACCATGTAGTAGTCCAGATGAAGTGTAACTGTAATTCTAAAATTGTTCCAGATACTTACATAAGGACATTATGATAAATGGTTTATGAATTAGAGTAATTGAATACCAAAACCATCTTGTACTTAAAAAGTAAAATTTAGGGCACCTGGGTGGCTCAGTCATTAAGCATCTGCCTTCAGCTCAGGTCATGATCCCAGGGTCCTGGAATTGAGGCCTGCATCGGGCTCCCTGCTCCATGGGAAGCCTGCTTCTCCCTCTCCCACTTCCCCCGCTTGTGTTCCCTCTCTCTCACTGTGTCTCTCTCTGTCAAATAAATAAATAATATCTTTTTAAAATAAATAAATAAATAAAATAAAATTTTCTTAAATATTTTACCACTTACATTTATTTATCTTTTTTTTAATTAATTAATTTATTTAAAGTAGGCTTCATGCCTAATGTGGGGCTTAAACTCATAACCCTGAGATCAAGAGTCACATGCTCTACCAACTGAGCCAGCCAGGCACCCACATTTATTTATCTTGTATTGTGAGTCATCCATAATTCCAACTTTTTTGCCACATAATCATTTTTTTACAGATTTTTTTTAAGATTTTATTTATTTATTTGAGAGAGGGAGAATGAGAGATAGAGAGCATGAGAGGGAAGAGGGTCAGAGGGAGAAGCAGACTCCCCGCTGAGCAGGGAGCCCGATGCGGGACTCGATCCCAGGACTCCGGGACCATGACCTGAGCCGAAGGCAGTTACTCAACAATCTGAGTCACCCAGGCACCCCTATAATCAGTTTTTTAAAAGATAGTTTATGTCACTAGGACTTCTAAAGATTTTATTTTTTTTAAATAATCTCTACACCGAACATAAAGCTCGAGCTTAACAACCCCAAGATCAAGAGTCACACGCTCCACTGACTGAGCCAGCCAGGCACCCACTAGGATTTTTTTTTACACATGTATTTATTTATTTATTTATTTTAAGGAGGGGGCGTGTAGGGGGAGAGAGAATGAGAATCTCAAGCAGACCCTGCACTGAGCAGGGAACCCAACACTGGGTTCAATCTCCGGACTCTGAGATCACAATATTAGCCAAAACCAAGAGTCAGATGCTCAACTAAGCCACTCAGGCATACCCCCACCCCACTAGGAATTTTAAATAGATAAAAAGTAGTCCAATCTCACATTCAGAAGAAATATAAACACTACAATGAACTGACCCAACTGATAAAAATTATAAGATTCAATAACTGCTATATTGGTGAAGCCATGGAAAATGAACACTGCTGTGTACCATCCTGGGAGTGTAAACCACACAACTTCTTTGAAGGGAAAATTGGCAAAAGCTACCAAAACTAAAAATGTACCTACTTTCGACCAAACAACTTTATTCCTAGGAATTTAACCAAAGATCTACTCACCCATGTGCACAAAGATAAATGATACAAGAATTTCACTGAAACATTGTTTGTGGTAGGAAAAAAATTGGAAACATCCTAAACATCCTTCAATATGAGAATCGCTATGTAATATTTTGTACAACCACACAATGAAATATTACTCAGCTATCAAAAAGGAGGTATATGCTAATAGATATTGATCTCCAAGAGGAACTCTCAAGCAAAAAAAGCAAATTCACTGAAGAAATCCAAGAAGATATATATAAAAGGAGAGATATTGATTGTGTGTTCATGATTAGGAAGACTCAATATTGTCAAGACGTCAGCTCTTGGGGTACGTGCACCCCGATGTTTATAGCAGCAATATCCACAATAGCCAAACTGTGGAAAGAGCCAAGATGTCCATCGACAGATGAATGGATAAAGAAGATGTGGAATATTATGCAGCCATCAAAAGGAATGAGATCTTGCCATTTGCAACAATGTGGATGGAACTGGAGGGTGTTATGCTGAGCAAAGTAAGTCAATCAGAGAAAGACATGTGTCATATGACCTCACTGATATGACAAATTCTTAATCTCAGGAAACAAAACTGAGGGTTGCTAGAGTGGTGGGGGGTGGGAGGGATGGGGTGGCTGGGTGATAGACATTGGGGAGGGTATGTGCTATGGTGAGTGCTGTGAATTGTGCAAGACTGTTGAATCACAGATCTGTACCTCTGAAACAAATAACACAATATATGTTAAAAAAAAAAAAAAGAAGAAGAAGATAGCAGGAAGGGGAAGAATGAAGGGGGGGAAATCGGAGGGGGAGACGAACCATGAGAGACGATGGACTCTAAAAAACAAACTGAGGGTTCTAGAGGGGAGGGGGTGGGAGGACAGGATAGCCTGGTGATGGGTATTAAAGAGGGCACGTTCTGCGTGGAGCACTGGGTGTTATACACAAACAATGAATCATGGAACACTACATCAAAAACTAATGATGTCATGTATGGTGATTAACATAACATAATAAAAAAAATATTTGCCCAAGAAGAGAGATTGTAGTTTCTTCCTTTACCTAGAACAAAGACAGACATACAGATCAACAGAATAGAACTGAAAGTCCAGAAATAAACCTTACATTTCTGGTCAAGTGGTTTTCAACAAAGGTGCCAAGATCCTTCAATGAGGGAAAAACATTCAACAAATAGTGTTTAGACAAGTAGATATAGCCACATCAAAAGGAGGAAATCCCTTACCTTATGCCACATATTAAAATTAACTCAAAATAGAGGCATCTGGGGGGTGCACTTGGTTAAGCCTAACCACTTCTGGTTTCGGCTCAGGTCATGATCTCAGGGTTGTGAGATTAAGTCCCATGTGGGGAATCCGTGCTCAGTGGGGAGTCTGCTGGAGATTCTCTCCATCTCCCTTTGCCCCTGCCTCAGCCCCCACTCGCAGTCTCTCTCTCTCTCTCAAATAAATAAATCCTAAAAAAAAAAATTAAAAACTTTTGTGTGTCACAGGACACCATCAAGAAAATGAAGAAACAATCCATAGAATGAGAGAAAAAATTTAAAAATGTATTATCTGATAAGGAATTGAATCTAGAGTATGCAATGAATTCTTACAGCTCCATAATAAAAAGCCAATACGATTTAAAAATGGGCAAAGAATCTGAACAGACATTGCTCAAAGGAAGATATACAAATGGCCAATAACACATGAAAAGATGCTCAATATCATTAGTCATCAAGGAAATGCAAATCAAATCCACAATGAGATACCACTTCACACCCATTAGGATGACTAGAATCCAAGTCAGATAATAACAAGTATTGATGAGGATATTAGAGAAACTGTAACCCTCACACTCTGTTGGTGGGATTTCAAAATGATGCAGACACTTTGGAAAACAGTCTGACAGTGTCTCAAATGATTAAACATAGGGTTACCATAAGACTCATTAATTCTACTCCAAGGGAAATGAAAACATATGTCCACATAAAAACTGATACATGAATACTTAGAGCAGCATTATTCATAATAGCCAAAAAGTGAATACAACTCAAATGTCTAGCAATGGACAAATGGATAAACAAAAGTGATCTATCCACATAATGGGGAAATAATTGGATTCAATTCCTTAGGAAAGGAAGGGGGTGCCTAGCTGGCTCAGTCAGAAGAGCATCTGACTCTTGATCTCAGTGTTGTGAGTTCAAGGCCCACATTGGGTGTAGAGATTACTTAAAAATAAAATCTTAAAAAAAAAAAAGAAAGGAAGTACTAATATGTGCCACAACTTGGATGAACCTTGAAATCATTATGCTAAGTAAACAAGTTAGTCACAAAAAACCACATCTTATATAATTCCATTCATATGAAAATCAGAATAGGGAAATCTATAAAGTTAGAAAGTAGATTAGTGGTTGATTAGGGCTGGAACAAGAAGGGTGGGGGTATAGGAGGGTGATAGCTAAAGGATACAGGGTTTCTTTTAAGGTGATGAAAATGTTCAAAAATTATGGTGATATTGCACCTATCTGTGAATATACTAAAAATCACTGAATTGCATACTTTAAATGCATGAATTGTATTATGTATAAATTTTATCTCAACAAAGGTTTTTTTAAAAAAACAAGTGGGGAGCATTTATTTATTTATTTTGCATTTTTAATTTTTAAAATTTTTATTTTAATTTTTTGCTTTGTACCAACCATAATTTTTTTAATTTCAATTTTACTTAGTTAATATACAGTGCAATATTTGTTTCTGGAATAAAATTCAGTGATTCATCACTTACATACAAGACCCACTGCTCATCACAAAAAATGCCCTCCTTAATACCCTTCACCCAAAAGTATTATAAGTAATAAGAAGAGGAGATAAAATTAAAATACCACCATTTGCAAACCCCAATGAATTGACAGATCTAGCCATTAAGCATCAGGGGCTACTAACGTCACAAAAAGAGACATTCAGACTTATGTCTCTCCTAACTCAAGAAGACAATACTGCCTATAATCTTGCCAAATAGACTGAACCTCAGACTAACCCAACATCTGGACCCAGGTGCCAATTTGCACAAAATATAAAGGACAAAGAAACATGTTGAACTCCACTGCAAGTATGCAATCAACAAAATTCAGACTTAGAAACTCAATAGTCTGGGTTCTTCAACAGATAAGTCGTAAGAAAAATAAAGGGATAGAGGAAATTACTGTAGTTTAAAAGAGTCTTTAAAAACATATCAGATCTTGGGGCGCCTGGGTGGCTCAGTTGGTTAAACGTCTGCCTTGGGCTCAGGTCATGATTCCAGGGTCCTGGGATGGAGTCCTGCATCGGGCTCCCTGCTCAGCGGGGAGTCTGCTTCACCCTCTACGCCTACCCCCGCTCATGTTTGCTTTCTCTTGCACGCGCTCTTTCTCTCTCTCTCTCTCTCTCACAAAAATAAATAAATAAAATCTAAAAATAAATTAATTAATAAATAAAAAGAGATCTTATTTAAATAAAAAAGCAAGACTAGTTTTAACAAATATACCACTATAATGTAAGATCATGACGTCAGGAGAAGCAGAAATTGGGTGAGGGCTGTATGGGAACTCTCTGTACTATGTGTGCAGCTTTTCTATAAATGTAGAATTATTCGAAAATAAAAGCATATTTTTTTAAGATTTTATTTATTTATTTGAGAGAGTGAGCGAGAGAGAGAGAGAGCACAAGTGGGAGGGAGGGGCAAAGAGAGAGAGGGAGAAGCAGACTCCCCACCGAGCAGGGAGCCCGATGCGGGGCTTGATCCCAGGACACTGGGATCATGACCTGAGCCGAAGGCAGACACTTAACCAACTGAGACACCCAGGTGCCTCTAAAAAGCCTATTTAAAAAAGAATGCCGGGGCGCCTGCGTGGCTCAGTCGTTAAACGTCTGCCTTCCGCTCAGGTCATGATCCCAGTGTCCTGGGATCGAGCCCCGCATCGGGCCTCTGTTCCGCGGGAAGCCTGCTTCTCCCTCTCCCACTCCCCCCGCTTGTGTTCCCTCTCTCTGTCAAATAAATAAATAAAATCTTTAAAAAAAAAAAAAAAAAGAATGCCTGGCTCAGTCGTTAAGCGTCTGCCTTCAGCTCAGGTCATGATCCCAGGGTCCTGGGATCAAGACCCGCATTGGGCTCCCTGCTCAGTGGGGAGTCTGCTTCTCCCTCTCCCACTTCCCCTGCTTGTGTTCCTGCTTTTGCTATCTCTCTCTCTGTCAAATAAATAAAACCTTAAAAAAAAAAAAAAGAATGCCTGGGGGGTAGAGGAGAAAGTCTAGGGTGGCCATAAAAAATGATAATAATAAGTGTTGACAAGGATATGAAGAAATCATAGTCCCTACATTCTGCTGGCAGGAATGTAAAACAATACAGACACTGTGGAAACCAATCTGGCAGCTCCTCAAAGGATCAAACATAGAGTTGCCACCCACAATTCCAGCTCCCAGGTATGAAACCCAAAGAAATGAAGACACATGTCCACACTGAAACATGTACACGAATGTTCACATTATTCATCATAGCCAAAAAGTGGAAACAATCAAGATGTTTATCAACTAAAACTTAGATAAATAAAATGTGGTATATCCATAGAACGGATATTATTCAGCCATAAAAAGAAATAAAGTACCAATACATGCTACAACATGGATGACCTTTGAAAACAATATTCAAAGTGAGAGAAGTCAGTCCCCAAAAAACAGATCTTGCTGAATCTCATTTATATGAAATGTCCAGAATAGGCAAATCCATAGAGAATTCAAAGTAGCCTGGTGGTTGCTAGGCCTGGAAGGCTTGGCAGGAAAGGGAGAGTGACTGCCAATGGATATAGGGTTTCTTTTTGGGGTGATGAAAATGTTCTAAAATTGAATGTAGTGATGATTGTACAACTCTGTGAATATACTAAAAACCACTGAATTGTACAATTTAAATGGGTGATTTTTATGGTATGTGAATCATATCTCAAAAATGCTATCATTTAAAAAAGCCTAGATCAAACTAAGTGCATGTACTTAGATAAGTAGATAAAACTATAAAGAAATATAAGGAACTGAATATAATAAAAGTCAATATCATGTTCACTTTTGGGATCAGGGAGAACGATATAATTGGAATAGGGCACATGAGAGTCTTTGGAGGGGCAGCAAAATTCTATTTTTTTAATTCAAGTATAATTAATGTAAAGTGTTGTATTAGTTTCAAGCATATAATATGATTCAATGATTCTATGCACTAGTCATTGCTCATTATGATAAATATTTCTTAATCCCCTTCACCTATTTAACCCATCCCTCTGCCCCAAAATTCTATTTTTTGATCTGGTAGTGAAGCTATACATTCATTGTGTGAGCTTTTTTTGGATCCGTGTGCTGTTTAACAATAAAAGGATTTTTTTTAAAACACGCACTAGCAAATTTATTTCAAACATAATGTGAAGTCTCACAGAATCCAAATTTACCATGTGCGAGTTACCAATTTTGTCTCTGTGGACTACAAGAGATTATATCTGTTCTCAAAGAACATATCTTTCAGCAGGAAGTATTTATTTATTATTATTTTTAAAGATTTTATTCATTTGTTTGACAGAGACAGAGCGAGAGAGGGAACACAAGCAGGGGGAGTGGGAGAGGGAGAAGCAGGCTCCCTGCTGAGAAGGCAGACGCTTAACGACTGAGCCACCCAGGTGCCCCTGGAGTTAGATAGTTTGTAAAAACAGAATAATGGTTTCTAGGAAAAGTGTGTGAGAATTATCCACCATCCCCCCATTTCTTGTGTTAAGTTGGACCACTTGGTCCCTTTATGTACTTCAAGATTTGCTATTTGTATATTAGGTTGCAATTTCATATACTGTTTCTATGGTTTCACAATAGACTGATACCGTACTACTTTTTAAGGCATCTAGAGCAGCACAATTTAAAAATTATTTGCCAGGGCACCTAGGTGGCTCAGTTGGTTAAGGGACTGCCTTTGGCTCAGGTTTTAATCCTGGAGTCCCTGGATCGAGTCCTGCATTGGGTTCCCTGTTCAGTGGGGAGTCTGCTTCTCCCTCTGACCCTCCCCCTTCTCGTGCTCTCTCTCATTCTCTCTCTCAAATAAATAAATAAATAAAATCTTCTAAAAAAATTATTTGCCAGACTTTGTAAAGAGGGTGCCATATTCCAGAAAATAGGAAACTTGGCAGTTCCTATGGTAACACTGGCAGAGTGAGGTAAATGATTTTTAAATCTCTGCAGAATGTAGAGGCTAAAGATAAGCGGAGGAGACAACTCTGCCAAGGCTGGGGCACAGCTTAAAGCAAGTGTGGATACAGCCTGAAAGATGTCTGCCAAGGTCACCTGAGGTTGGGGCCCCTCAAGAGTACCGAGCAGGCAACATCATTATGTAGCAGGACAGGTGCCTAGAGGGTCTTTTTTTTTTAGAGGCATCCCTTTCTTATTCCTAACCCACAAGCACAAGGCAGAGGGTATTAGTGGTAGGTGACAGATACAGAAAGGAAAAAAAGAGATGACCAGGAAAGGTCAGAAAGGATCCCAAAATATACATACTTTCCGTAAGAGGTATCTTTTAATACTAATTCTGGAGCTCTATACCAGCGTGTGGCCACATAGTCCGTATAAATGTCCCCAGGAGCTGCTAGAGTTCGTGCAAAACCAAAATCACAGAGCTTAGTAATTCCTGACTGGGATACTAAAATATTCTCAGGTTTTATATCTCGATGAATGATCTAAAATCAAACAGAAGATGCAATAGATTAAAATGAGGTTTTATTATCTAGAGGATCACTCAAAAATTATATAGAGAAAATCTAGCTAATTAAGACAGTAAAGGTATTTTCTTATCATATGCAAAGGATTAACTATACAAGGCAAAAGCTAAATAGTTACATATTTTCAATTCTTGCCCCATCCATCATCTCAGAATGAAATGAAGCCAGGGGCACCTGGGTGGCTCAGTCAGTTGAGCCTCCAACTCTTGATTTTGGCTCAGGTCACAATCTCAAGGTTGTGGGATCAAGCCCTGCATCGGGCTCCATGCTCAACGCAGAGTCTGCTTGTCCCTCTCCCTCTGCTCTGCCCCCCACCCCCGTGCTCTCTCGCTTGCTCTCTCTCTCAAATAAATAAATAAATAAAATCTTTTTTAAAGAAATGAAATGAAGCCAAGAAAACAAAATACTAAAAAGGTAAATCACGATCCCCAAAACAAAAGTAATCAAAAGAACTTAATGAAAAACAGGTGGTTTCCTTTAACCCCATGTCATTCTAGATATAACTGCCCTTTCTCTCATGCTTTTACAGCTAAACCTCTTGAAGACATTATTTTTACTAAATCTTCTCTTTGTCACCACTCATTCACTTCTTAAAGTAATATAACCTATCTTTTGCTTCTACATTCCATTAGACTGCTCCAACCCAGAGTCATCATGAACTTCATTGTTGCTGCATCCAATATACACCCCTCAATACACATCTTACTTGATACATTAGTGTAAAAATGTTGCCAACTATTCCTCCCTTCCTGATTTCTGGGACCTAAAATTCTCCCAGTCCCTTCTATTTCTGTGGCATTTCCTCTTTCCCTATTTGTCTCTTAAAAGTAGGATTCTAGTCTCAGATTTTCTTTTCTCATACATCATGTTCCCCAGGCAATCACATCTACTCATTTTTGGTTTTTGGTTTTACCACTTCCTTCATTTGTTATGGGGAAACTATATTCTCTTGGTTTTCTTCTCACCTATTGGCTGCTCCATCTCAATCTCATCTACTCTTCTAGCTTTAGTAACAATATACAGATGATTTCCAAATTTCTATCTCTAACCAAGATATCTCTCCTGATTTCCACAAGGAGTAGAAGTCCACAAGAAGTCCAACAAGGCTGACCCAGACACCCCTCAAACTTAGCAAATCCAAAACTGAATTCATCTTCTCCCCCAAACCTATTTTGTTCTCAACAGTCCCTTAGCTCAGCAGATGAAACAAACATTGACCCCATGGCTCAAGTCAGAAACCAAGGTATCTTTCTTCTTCAGCTCCCATACATACTTTTGTCCCTAGTTCAAGTCCCCTCAACGCTCTCACCAAAATTATTACATTGCCAACTGGTCTCCCTGAATTCATTCTGATCCCCTCCAACCCACTGTCCACAAAAGGAAGTCACAATACTATTTTAAAATCACATGGGTGTGGCACCCGGTTGGCTGAGTTGGAAGAGCATGTGACTTTTGATCTCAGGATCATGGGTTTGAGCCCTACACTGTGTGTAGTGGTTACTAAAAAAATTTAAAACTTAAAAAAATCACATGTGTGATCATGTCACTTTTCTGCTTAACATCCTTCAAGGATTCCCCATCCCACAGGACAAATTTGAAACTCCCAAAAATGGCTTGTAAGACCTTGTAGAATTTGGCCCTTGCTCACTTTCTCCACCTCCCTTCCCTAGCCGATAGGATATTTCCCAATTTTCTAAGGTTTGTCTCATCTCTCTTCATTTGCTGATGCTGTTCCAACTGCCTAGAACACTTTGCCTGGCCAGCTATTTCCTTAGGTCTTAGCTTAGATATTTTTATTAGATGTTCCTTGGATATGGTCTCACATCATTCTGCACTTCCCCCACCACATTATTTGTCATGCCGTATTATTAATTGCCTGTTCACTTGTTTGTAACTCCCACTAGACTGGAAACTCTACAAGGGCAAGAGGTATGTCTGTCTTGTTCAAGCTATATCCCCAGTGACCAATACAGTGCCTAAAACAAAGAAAACATTTAAAAATTTTATGAAATGAATGAAGCATATTCTTATCACCTACAAAGTGTGATAGCACAAGTGAAAATATCTCAGTGACAGAAATCTAAGATCTTTCCTTGTTTATACAACTTACTGCTATAAGTCTTTGGGACTGGCTTGTGTTCTGCCTCAGTCTCCCTCCATAAATGGCCAAAATATTAACTTGGGGTAATGAGTCACCTTAAGTGTGCCATACATAGAGCTGTATTAATCCTTCTTTATTCCTACAACTTTTATTGAATGACTACTATATGCTAGGCACTATACCAAGATCTAAGGATATAACATGAGCAAACGCTGACATAGGAAAAAGCACATCAAGATACCACTTCATATATTCTGCCCACCACACATCCATTGTTCTCCTTTTCAGTCCTTTAAACACAAGGCAGAAAGCTCCACCCAGCTGATACCCTAATATTTTCATTCTTTTCCATAACTAACACCATGACTATATGTGGAATTTTGTTATCCTTGAGAACAAAGCACTTTCTAAATCCCAACTTTGTAAAACTCTATGTTTAACTACATCCTCCTTCGTCTTCCACTATCACACTTTGACCTCCATAAATAACAGTATTTCTTTCCATTTGTTTAGGTCTTTAATTTCTCTCAATGTTTAGTAGTTTTTGGTTTATAGGTCTTATACATCTTTTGTCAGATTCTCCCTAAATATTTTTTTAAAGATTTTATTTATTTATTTGAGAGAGAGAGAGAATGAGAGATAGAAAGCATGAGAGGGAAGAGGGTCAGAGGGAGAAGCTGACTCCCCGCTGAGCAGGAAGCCCAATGCGGGACTCGATCCCGGGATTCCAGGACCATGACCTGAGCCGAAGGCAGTCGCTTAACCAACTGAGCCACCCAGGCACCCCTCCCTAAATATTTCTTATATTTAAAGCTGTTTAGGGTGCCTGGGTGGCTCAGTTGGTTAAGCATCTGCCTTCAGCTCAGGTCATGATCCCGGGGTCCTGGGATCGAGTCCCACATTGGGCTCCCTGCTCTGCAGGGAGTCTGCTTCTCTCTTGCCTCTGCCTCTCTCTCTGTCTCTCATGAATAAATAAATAATATCTTAAAAAAATAAAAATAAAGCTGTTTAATGTTTTTTTTAAGATTTTATTTTTGGGGTACATGGGTGGCTCAGTTGGTTAAGTGTACCACTCTTGGTTTTGGCTTAGGTTGTGATCTCAGGATCATGGGATCAAGCTTTCTCTCTCCCTCCTCCTCTGCTCCTCCCCTCCCCATGTGCATGCTCTCTCTCTCTCTCTCAAATAAATAAATAAATGTTTAAGAAAGAAAGAAAGAAAGAAAGAAAGAAAGAAAGAAAGAAAGAAAGAAAGAAAGAAAGAAAGAAAGAAAGAAAGAAAGAAAGAAAAGGAGTGCCTAGGTGGCTCAGTTGGTTAAACATCTGCCTTCAGCTCAGGTCATAATCCCAGAGTCCAGGGATCAAGGCCAACATTGGGCTCTCTGCTCAGCGGAAAGCCTGCCTCTCACCCCGCTCATGCTCACTCTCTCCCTCTCTTTCTCTCAAATAAATAAGATCTTTTTTTAAAAAAAAGAAAGAAAGAAAGATTTTATTTTTAAGTAATCTTTTCACTCAACCTGGGGCTTGAACTCAGAACGCTGAGATCAAGAGTCACGCGCTCTACTGACTGAGCCAGTCAGGTGCCCCTGTTTAATGGTATTTTTAATATCAATTTCTTTTTAAGATTTTATTTATTTATTTGACAGAGAGAGAGCACGAGCAGGGCGAGGGGCAGAGGGAGAGGGAGAAACAGTCTCCCCGCTGAGCAGGGAGCCTGACGTGGGGCTTGATCCCAGGACCCCAGGATCATGACCTGAGCTGAAGGCAGATGCTTAACCAACTGAACCACCCAGCGCCCCTATTTTCAATTTCTGATTGTTGATTGATTGCCAGTATATAAAATTATAATTAATTTTGATATATAGATCTTAAATCCCACAACCTTGATAAACTTAGAAATTAGTTCTATTAATTTTGTTGCAGATTCCATAGGATTTTCTACATAGATGATCATATCATCTGTAAATAAAGACAGTTCTACTTCTTGGGGGGAAAAAAAGGTACCATTTCACACCCACTAGAATTGCCACAACCAAAATGACAATAAACAAATATGGGGGAGGAAGTGGAAAACTGGAATGCATGGTTAGTGGGGATGTAAAATGATATAGCCACTTTGGAAAACAGTTTAGCAGTTCTTTAAAGAGTTAAAACATAAATCATATGACCCATATGGTATTTTTTTAATGTAAGCTCTACACCCAACATGCAGCTTGAACTCATGAACCCTAAGATCAAGAGTCACATGTTCTACTGATGGAGCCAGCCAGTCACTCCTACCCCTATAGTATTCTTTTTTTTAAAGACTTATCTGAGAGAGAGGGTGTGTGCAAGAGTGCATGAGTGGGTGGAGAGGCAGAGGGAGAGAATCTTCAGGCAGACTCCCCACTGAGCTCCAAGCCCTATGGGGGTGAAGGTGGGGCACCTTGATCTCCAGACCCATGAGATCATGATCTAAGCCAAAACCAGGACCTGGATGCTTAACTGACTGAGCC